CCTTCTTATCCAGAACATTTCCGGCAAATTATGTAAATTTTTGTACCCAGGATGCGACCTGCACCAGTTGATTAAGACCCAGGTACCAATTTTACTGAGAGGTAAACATGGACAGTAGGTTTCTTAAGGAAATACATCGTAATGTTTCCAGCCTTATCGGGGATCAAACCACGAACACTCATTGTGTGAAGGGAGAGTTTTGCCTACCAGGTCACGGGACACCGTCTAGTTGTATTATAATTTTAAAGTTGTATTATATAAACTATGATGTAATTAGATAATCGGTTAATATTGCCATTATTATATCTGGAAAAAAAACCATTTGTAATATTTTGTCATATTCGTCGACGTATATTTGAAAATCCTGCCTTAGTACGTTAACCAACATAGGAATTTATGACAGGTTGATGTGTAGTGTGTGTGTGTGAGGCGTGTTGAGAGTGATGTGAGGTGCAGTGTTCTGTATCTCACTCTCTTAACCCTAAACCGCTGGCACAACTACAAACTGGACAGGTATCTCCACCAGGTGTCAGATCAACCAGACTATGGTGGATATGTGGGTCAGCGGGCCACTAGCAGCAGCAGCCTGGTTGACCGGGCAAACGGCAGAGAAGCCCAGACTCCGGGAGTAGAAAACCCTCTCGAAACAAAGCAAAAGTATATCAGAGTTATAAAGGTAACGGTACGTTACTGTACTAGTGACGTTTGAGCGGTCCAATGTACCTATGAACCAAGCAGTACATTTTTCAGCCTAAATAGACGAGATTTTTTTTCTATCGTAAGAATTTATAGTATTTTGGAATGTGTGGCTAATGAAAGATGTGGGTTGTACTACGACAGTAATGGTGAAAATTGGACACGTGTACAACTTCTGGGTATCATACACAAATAACCCGCACGCAAGAGAGAGAGGAGCTTACGACGACGTTTCGGCCCGACTTGGACCATTTACAAAGTCACACTAATAAAAAAGAGAGGAGGGAGTATATATAGGCAAACAGACATGGACGGGACACAAAAGGTAGTAGGAAAGGAACATAAGAACATAATGAGCACTGCAGCAGTCCTACTGGCCCATGCGAGGCAGGTTTGATTCTCCCACCGGCTTAAGCCAATGCCTTCACCTAGTCAGATCAGTAACATTCACTTAGGGATGAACTGAACTGAGGACTCGCAGATAAGGGCCCACTAGGGGCGAGGGGCAAGTGGGGACAGGATGAAGAAGATAGTTGTAGAGAGGAAAAAAAAAATCTTAAGGAGGAAAAGTGTCAGGACTATACCCAACTGCTAATCAAAGAAAACATAATATTCAACATTATCTCTCTCGTGAGCATATCAACTCACAATGACTGGATACGGCTCAGGGACATGTTACTGCAAAAGGCAACGCAAACGCACGTCGCAAGCACTTCAGCTTAAAACGCACAAAGACACAGCTCTACGACAATGGCACTTTTAAGTTATTTGAATATTTAAGCTAAATAAGTCAGGTAGTTTATTTGTATTGTGGTGGAGGTGCCGGATCATACAACGTTTGAAAGAGATTTACATCATTGTAAGGACGTCTGAGAGTATCTGCTAAGTATGTAGTCCAGTGGTCATGATATGCTTCAAGTCTGTCAAGTTGTTTGTCACTAAGTGTCTTCCAGTATACGTTCAAAGCTGGTGTGTTTGTCGTGAGGTGGAGAGATTCACTGGTGGCAAATTCGTCCCACCTCACTCCCAACACCCAAGGTAATGCTCGATTCTGGATGCGTTGGAATTTTAGTGCGTTTGTCTTGGCGGTTAATGTCAGAGCGAGTGGAGAGTAAGAGAGTAGAGGACGAATGAGTGCTTTGTAGAGATGTAGTTTTGTCTTGGGACTGGCTCCTCTCGGCTTATATAACCTTGAGAGTGCAATTCCCGCCTGTGTGGTCTTAGCAGTAATGTGAGATTTTAGGTTCAGTGTGTTGTCAGGGTAACACCAAGGACAACTGTCGAGAAGGAGCGTGGGATGGGGGTACGGGAGGTGCTTGTTTTGAGTTCGACAGGAGTCGGGACATAACGCATTCTATGGAAGTAAGTGATCTTCGACTTATTTGGGTTGGTTTTGATGCGCCATAATAATTCCCAGGCGGTAATCCTGTCGACCTCTCTTTGTGTTCTGCGTGCTAGGAAACGAATGTTTTTATGTGTTGTGAGTTGAGTGATGTCGTCTGCGTAAGAAAGGGTAAGTGTGTTTGGGTAAAGAGGTTCAGGTAAATCATTCGTGTAGAGTATATAGGGTGGGAGACAGGACAGAGCCTTGGGGTACACCCGCTTTTAATGTGAAATAGTCCGAATAATGATCTCTGAACCGTATACGCATCGTTCGGCCATCTAAAAAGTGACATAATAATTTCATCATATTTACAGTTAATTCAAAGGACGTGCAAAGTTTGTATTTTAATCCTTCATGCCAAACAGTGTCAAAAGCTTTCTCTACATCTTTGGCGACAAGGGCGGAGGTACAGTTCTGGGCTTTATTGATACGTATATAGTTCAGGATTATATTCAAAACGTCTTGGGTAGAACGTTGTTGTCGGAAACCGAATTGTCTTTCAGTAAGCAAGTTATTTGTCTCTAGGTGAGTCCTGAGTCGCATGTTTACAAGTCGTTCAAAGGTCTTACCCAAAATTTCAAAGAGGCTAATAGGTCTATAGTTCTTGGGGTCAGTCAAGTCTTTTCCAGGTTTTGGTATGAGACATGCAGTTGCAGATTTAAAGAATGGAGGGAAATAGCCAGATGCAAGGGAGGCATTAAAGAGGTCAGTGATAGCGGAAGCAACAGAAAGTGGAAGGTGACGAAGGACTGAATGTGATAGACCAGAAGCACCTGGAGCTTTGTTTGGAAGGTGTGTTAGTAAAGAGTGAACATCATCTACAGTAAAAGGAGAGTTTAGAGGATGCGTGGAAGATAGGGTGTTTAGGCTTATGATTGGATTAGGATTTGTTAAATCTTCATGGTTGGATACCCATCTCTCTATGTCTAATGTATGTGCTATGACAGCTTGGTCTGGTGGATGTGGGTGGAAGATGTTTTCCCATATGTCTTTGAAAATATGTACAGCTTCAGCAGGGTCAGAGATCTGTCTGTTGTTGTGATTTATGTGTCTAAAGGTTGTGGATCGAGGGGCGCCTGTAAGTCTCCGAATGGATGACCAGAATGCTTTGGGATCTCTTGTACGCTGGACATCTGTTGTGTTTATTACTGATTGCCAATGTTAGCTCTATTGCGAACACATATGTACTGTTGTCTTGGTTTCAGTTTACTGCTAACCAGAACTCCTAAATCCTACTCGCAATCCGTAATATTAAGATCTACTATCGTATTTACTTTGTATGCTGTCGTAAGGTGAAGTCTAGGATCTTTTCTTAATTTATGGTATGACTTAGCAAATCTTTAAGGACAATTGTGTTGCACAGGTCGGAGCTTTGCTCAGACCTGTGCAACACAGTTGTCCTTAAAGATTTGTTAAATTAAAGAAAGATCCTAGACTTCACCTTACGAAAGCAGACAGGGTAAATGCGATAGTAATTATGGACAATGTAGATTATAGGAGAAAAATTAAAAATTTTTAGAAGACAGGGGAACTTACGTGCCTCTTAAGCGATACAGGTGCTACATTTGTTAAGCTATCCTCAGCCCGACTGTTGCTATCTTCATCTCCATCAAGCGCTCCATTGTTGTCTTCAGGGTTTTAATCTTCAGCTCCTGGACCTCTTGGAAGGGTTGAGTCAACCTATTAGGTCTCTTAAGGAAGTCGGGTTGCAGCTCCTCTACCTCTTACAGGGTTGTAAGAAACTACTCTTCCTGTGGCATGCATCGAGGTACAGGGGACTGAGCTTATAGCATACCTTTCTTGAATCGTACAACGATCAAAACAAGTACACTTGTGATTATTTCTCTAATATGACAGTAAATTAATCTCGATAGGAAATTGGTATTAATAAGAAGTCGATAGTTGAAAATTGGCAACTATGATGTGAGACTGATGTTACCAACGTCTTAATGTTAATCAAACAACTCAAATCAGTGTGTAGATGAATGGTTCAGAGAACCGGCACGTTGATAAATTATCAACGTGTCGGTTCTCTGAACCATTCATCTACAATCCTGTCAGACACTGCAACTTCTTGGGATCTTAATACTTTGGAATTCTTCGCTTGCCTAACCCTTGGGCACGACCTACTTCCACATTTGATAAATGTGACACGTACGACTGCTGCACCTCTCCTGCCTACGGTATATAAGCCACTTCTCCACACATATGCCGTATTCTATTCAAGATTGATGGACTGACCACATCGACTCAAGGTTGAGGGACTGATTACCTCATTCTCCTCCTGTTCTTCACGATTCTCCTTTGTATGGACTGAAGCCACTGTGTGGCGAAACGTTTCCTCAGTAAAGATACCCAAGAGTTGCACATGTGTCTAATTTATCAAATCAGTGTACTCACCTATTTGTGGTTGCAGGGGTCGATTCATAGCTCCTGGCCCCGCCTCTTCGCTGATTGCTACTAGGTCCTCTCTCTCCCTGCCCCATGAGCTTTATCATACCTCGCCTTAAAACTATGTATGGTTCCCGCCTCCACTACGTCACTTTCTAGGCTATTCCACGGTCTGACTACTCTATGGTTGAAGAAATACTTCCTAACATCCCTTTGATTCATCTGAGTCTTCAACTTCCAATTGTGACCTCTTGTGTCTGTGTCCCCTCTCTGGAACATCCCGTCTTTGTCCACCTTGTCTATTCCGCGCAGTATTTTATATGTCGTTATGTCTCCCCTGACCCTCCTGTCCTCCAGTGTCGTCAGGCCGATTTCCCTCAACCTTTCTTCGTAGGACAATCCCCGTAGCTCTGGGACTAGCCTTGTGTGTGTGTGTGTGTGTGTGTGTGTGTGGATGGAGTAACCCGTGGGATCATGCTCCTCGGAACCATGTACTACAAATAATATCCTGAGGTGGCAGTGTCCTCCACCACTTGCACATTCCCCCTTTGATATAGCCATCACCACTGGCGTTTCTATATGACGGTCGGGTTCTTTTGAATGCCAAAGTTTATTCGAAGGACTGTACTTATTACTTGTTATTACTCAGTCCCAGACTGAGGCTCTCTGTCCGCCTGATCACATTATATTATCTTGAAAGTGTTTTGATTTTGATTTAGTGAGAGATTAGGTAGAGTAGTGGTAGTATGGGCGAGTGTGTGGGTGGATGAGGAAACTTGCAACATGGACCAGCTGTTGAATCATCTCAGCAACATATACAAACCTCACTACTAGAGAAACCCTCCACCACTACTATATTCTTAGTCATTCTATGTATGAGCACAAGGTTATATATAAAATGTATCTCGCTATATGAGCTTAGTTAAATCTCTGGTTAATGGATGAAAGAACCATTGGTGGTCAAAGGTGAAGTTGAACCTTTAGAACCCTGGTGTAGTACCTAGGAGTTAAACCTAAGGAACCATACAGCCACCTGTTCGGCTTGCTAGTTGCGGTGTTTGTTATAGGAGAAACATTACAGGTTAGTGTGTTGGCTGAGATAATTGGTGGTATTGTGTGAGAACTTTTGATTTAGTGGAGTGAGCGAGTATCCAGTGAGTACTTAATGAAGATCTTGGAGCCACTCGCACTTACCATGGCGTCCGAGGAACCTGGTCAAGCTAAAATGGAGGCCCTCTATATAGCTAAAGGTAAGTGACTACCTGTTACACATTTCTCTATTACTTTATCCCTGGTACATTGTGTATGTTCTTCCACAGTGTAGTGAGTTGTGATCTCGCCTCTTAACTAACTTTACTGTTCTACTATATTAACCTGATTTATCTATTTGGCCAAATTAACGTTACTTCACAAAATGTATGTAATTATAACTTAAATTAACAGTAATGAGTGAGGTAGAGGCGAGACTGTTTAGACAAGAAAGGACTTAATTAATAAGTCGCAAAACCAACGTTAACCTTTTAGTGTTACCATCACTTTTTAAACGGTCGTAAGTTTTATTATCTTTCAACAGGGGTCCCTTGATACCGGAGGGCTCTTGATCAAGGAAGTAAATAAGTGTAAATGAGTCGAAACTTTTCAGCACTCTCCCTTCATACCCAAGGTAATGAAGGGAGGGTGCACTGTACACTGCACTGTACACTGCACTGTACACACTGTACTGTACACTGCACTGTACACTGCACTGTACACATTGCACTGTACACTGCACTGTACACATTGCACTGTACACTGCACTGTACACTGCACTGTACACACTGTACTGTACACTGCACTGTACACTGCACTGTACACTGCACTGTACACACTGTACTGTACACTGCACTGTACACTGCACTGTACACTGCACTGTACACTGCACTGTACACTGCACTGTACACATTGCACTGTACACTGCACTGTACACTGCACTGTACACACTGTACTGTACACTGCACTGTACACTGCACTGTACACATTGCACTGTACACTGCACTGTACACTGCACTGTACACACTGTACTGTACACTGCACTGTACACTGCACTGTACACATTGCACTGTACACTGCACTGTACACTGCACTGTACACACTGCACTGTACACACTGCATTGTACACACTGCACTGTACACTGCACTGTACACTGCACTGTACACTGCACTGTACACACTGTACTGTACACTGCACTGTACACTGCAATGTACACATTGCACTGTACACTGCACTGTACACTGCACTGTACACACTGTACTGTACACTGCACTGTACACTGCACTGTACACATTGCACTGTACACTGCACTGTACACTGCACTGTACACACTGCACTGTACACTGCACTGTACACACTGCATTGTACACACTGCACTGTACACTGCACTGTACACTGCACTGTACACTGCACTGTACACACTGTACTGTACACTGCACTGTACACATTGCACTGTACACTGCACTGTACACTGCACTGTACACACTGTACTGTACACACTGTACTGTACACTGCACTGTACACTGCACTGTACACATGCACTGTACACTGCACTGTACACTGCACTGTACACACTGTACTGTAAAACTGCACTGTACACTGCACTGTACACATTGCACTGTACACTGCACTGTACACTGCACTGTACACACTGACTGACACTGCACTGTACACTGCACTGTACACATTGCACTGTACACTGCACTGTACACTGCACTGTACACACTGTACTGTACACTGCACTGTACACTGCACTGTACACATTGCACTGTACACTGCAAATGTACACTGCACTGTACACACTGCACTGTACACTGCACTGTACACACTGCATTGACACACACTGCAAATGTACACTGCACTGTACACTGCACTGTACACATGCACTGTACACTGCACTGTACACTGCACTGTACAACTGCACTGGACACACTGCACTGTACACTGCACTGTACACACTGCATTGTACACACTGCACTGTACACGCACTGTACACTGCACTGTAACACTGCACTGTACACACTGCATGTACAACACTGCACTGTACACTGCACTGTACACATTGCATTGTACACTGCACTGTACACTGCACTGTACACATTGCACTGTACACTGCACTGTACACACTGCACTGTACACTGCACTGTACACTGCACTGTACACACTGCACTGTACACACTTCACTGTACACTGCACTGTACACACTGCACTGTACACACTGCACTGTACACTGCACTGTACACACTGCACTGTTCACACTGCACTGTACACACTGCACTGTACACACTTCACTGTACACACTGCACTGTACACACTGCACTGTACACTGCACTGTACACACTGCACTGTACACACTGCACTGTACACACTGCACTGTACACACTGCACTGTACACTGCACTGTACACACTGCACTGTACACACTGCACTGTACACTGCACTGTACACACTGCACTGTACACACTGCACTGTACACACTGCACTGTACACACTGCCCCTGTACACACTGCACTGTACACTGCAACTGTACACACTGCACTGTACACACTGCACTGTACACTGCACTGTACACACTGCACTGTACACACTGCACTGTACACACTGCACTGTACACACTGCACTGTACACTGCACTGTACACACTGCACTGTACACACTGCACTGTACACACTGCACTGTACACTGCACTGTACACACTGCACTGTACACACTGCACTGTACACACTGCACTGTACACTGCACTGTACACTGCAATGTACACATTGCACTGTACACTGCACTGTACACACTGCACTGTACACTGCACTGTACACCACTGTACACTGCACTGTACACCACTGTACACACTGCACTGTACACACTGCACTGTACACACTTCACTGTACACACTGCACTGTACACACTGCACTGTACACACTTCACTGTACACACTTCACTGTACACACTGCACTGTACACACTGCACTGTACACACTGCACTGTACACACTGCACTGTACACACTTCACTGTACACACTGCACTGTACACACTGCACTGTACACACTGCACTGTACACACTTCACTGTACACACTTCACTGTACACACTGCACTGTACACGCTGCACTGTACACGCTGCACTGTACACACTGCACTGTACACACTGCACTGTACACTGCACTGTACACTGCACTGTACACACTTCACTGTACACACTGCACTGTACACTGCACTGTACACTGCACTGTACACACTGCACTGTACACACTGCACTGTACACACTGCACTGTACACTGCACTGTAACAGCACTTCACTGTACACACTGTCACTGTACACACTGCACTGTACAAGTACCACACTGCACTGTACACACTGCACTGTACACTGCACTGTACACTGCACTGTACACACTGCACTGTACACACTGCACTGTACACTGCACTGTACACTGCACTGTACACTGCACTGTACACACTGCACTGTACACTGCACTGTACACACTGCACTGTACACACTTCACTGTACACACTGCACTGTACACTGCACTGTACACACTTCACTGTACACACTGCACTGTACACTATTTTTTGCATAAAGACTTCAGTTAGCTTATGTTTTTATATCAAGTTTAATTCTGTCAGTATATATGTAAAACTTAAAACAAAAAAACATAATCCATTGTAAAAGCATTATATTAAGTAAAAAAACTGGAAAAAAACGAAGATATAGAAAGGGAATTTAAAAAAAAAAAGAATCCCGGCTTTATTCTTAAAAATAAAAAAAAGTTTGTTTAACAATCCTAGTATAGCCCATACGTGTTTAACACTTCTCAGTTAGTAAACTTGGACTCCAATGAGTTTCCTCTGTTTTTTTTCTTTCTCTTTAGTTATCCTGTATTCTAAATGAGACTCCTAGATGTCAGCGAGAAGTTGTTGAATTAAGGAATTACACGTGTCCTCCCCCTTCCTTGAATCGTACATGATTACCTGCTGTTCCTCATGACATTGTAGACGCTACGGACTTAATGTTTTCCACTACATTTATATTGTTTGCGAGGGTCGAGACTCGGCTCATCGACTACTTTGGTCGGCATCCCTGATGACTGACTTCTTGGGCCTTATATTTACAGTGAAACTAAAGAAATACTTATATCCCTGTGGCTCATCTGCATTTTCAGCTTTTATCTCTATTCCATTGATCTTCGTCCTCTTAATTCAAACAGGCGATTCCTATTTACCCTATCAAGTTCTTTTAAGATTATGTATGTAGTACTGTTCACCCTTTTCTTGTCTGAGGCTGTTAGGTTCATTTCTTTCAACGTTCCATCATAGTGCATGTCTCAGTTTTGGGACTAGCATGGTTGCAAATCCTTGAACCTTTTTGAGATTCTTAACATGCTTGACCGAGTGTTGGTTCCATGTTTGGGTCGAGTACTCGATGATTGGCCTATGTCGTACATAAGCACCTGAAGAACTGATAAAGTTCCAGAATGCTATTCTGAGGTTTGCTAATCTTATGTATGCTGCTGATACTGTACGGTTTGTTTTTCTGGGTAGATGCTTGGTGTTATATTCACCCCAGATCCTTTTTTCTCTGACATTCGCAGTTTCTCTCTGACCATCGTGTACTCTCCGCTTTGCTCTCACCATCCGAAATTCGTACGACCTTCCATTTAGGTTGATATTTTCATCTGCAAGCAGTGACTTGCACCAATCCCCTCTGGTAAGTCATTCCCGTATATTAGGTAAAGTTTTGGTCTAAATACTGATCCCTACCTAACTTCTACCCTTCACCATTCTGAAGTTTCATTCCTTACTGTTACTTTCTGCCCTCTTTCATTTAAGTACTCCCTGACTAAGTGGAGCACCCTGGTTTTTTTTAACTCTGCCTATTCCTCTAATTACTGGACTTTGGTGTAGTATGGTGTCAGGTGCTTTCCTGCAGTCCGAGATGTGGTCTGCTTAGCCTTGTCTTTATCTTTGTGACAGTCGTAGAACTCCAATACATGCGTAAGACGGGGTTTTCCAACCCTAAATCTGTGTTCGTTTTCTGTAAGATGTAATCTCTCTCCATGTTCCCCAATATTTTTTTCTTACCATTTTTGCTCCCAAATATAGTCCAAAGACCACATTTGGGAGTTTGGGGAAATGTTAGTAACAAAATGTGGTAAGTTCCAGCTGCTTAGGTATGGAAAGAATGAAGAACTCAAAAGGAACACTGGATACAAAACTCAAGAGGGTCACC